GTCTAAAATTTGGAAGGGTCACAACCTAATCCTCATTAAAACCTCATTAAAGTAAACCCAAATGGGACAAACCTTTAATGAGGAAAGAGTAATTAGATTGTGACCAGAGGAGTGCAAGAGGAAAGAACGCAAAAAGATCAAATCCAAAACAGAGAAGAACCAGCTAAGCGCTTCAACACCCCAAATCAGCCTGATAACCAGAAACAGAAGCCCAACTACCAAGCAACCCCAGACCCAAAGCAACAAAAACCAAATCACAGCCGAGCACCAATCAGTCAAAAACATCAAAACCAAACATCAAGTAGCTTCAGAAAGACTAAACCAAATCTCCATGGCTTTCTCATATTTATTCCCCCTCTTTCTTTGTAAAGAAGTTATCCTATTTCTTATCAGTTTATCCAGCTTTGAGATTAAACAAGAAACCGGCTGTGAAGGGTCTCCCACTCTCCTTACATTTCTTTCGCGCCATAAAACATAAACTGTCGCCTGAAAACAGTAACGGAACAGAAAAGTAGACATCCTTCCATGAAGACCATTAATCACAAGATGAACAATGCTCAACCAATCATATATGCGTCTCCTACCAGCAAGACTTTTTATTGTTCGAGACCAAACTTCTTTCGAGTAGCTACAATCAAAAAATAGGTGATCTCTCGTTTCAATATCCGCTTTGCAAAGCCAGCAGGTGGGATTAGCTTGAGAGTTCCACATCAAAATTCTATCACCAGTAGCTAATCTGTTATGTATGGCAATCCAGACAAGAAAGGAAAACCTAGGGGTGGCTCCAGCAAACCAAACACCTTTAAACCAAGTTACCTTTGGGGTTTTAGTTCGAATTATGCTCCAAGTTTGGGAGGTGGAAAAACCTTTCTTATACTCACCATTTTCTCTCTGCCACAAACAGATATCATCCTCATGGATTAAACCTCTATTTTTTAGACCCATAACCTCCTGATCAATCAACTGAAGAACCGGAGCTCGATGTCTTTTTGAGCGATAAAGCTGAATAGCACTCTCAACAGTGCTATTAATCGGAATACCAAGTTCCATAGTACCTCTACCACCAGTTAAGTCAATTAACCTACCCAAAGAACACCAATTATCAAACCAGAAATAAGTCATAGAGCCACTATTTACCTCAACTTTCGACAGGTGCTTAGCTAACGGTCTAAGCTTAAGCAACTTCTTCCACATCCAAGATCCCAACAAACTCTTCTCATTAACATTCCAATAAGAACCCTTCCGGACAAGATACTTCCAAATCCATTGAACCCATAAAGAATGTCGTCCTGAAAGAATAAGCCAGATAAGCTTAAGACAAGAAACTCGATTTGCATCAAACAAATTCTTTAGACCAAGCCCTCCCTCATCCTTCGGCTTACACACATCAAACCAAGCAATTTTTGCTCTTTTCGTAGAAAGGGCAGGTCCTGACCAGAGAAACGCAGCACAAATACTGTTGATCTCTTTAATACAACTGCTAGGCAAACGGAACGCAGACATCCAGAAATTCGTGATACTGTAGAGAACAGACCCAATAAGCTGAAGCCTTCCTGCAAAAGAGAGATGTCTAGCAGTCCAAGAAGCAATCCGAGTCTTAATTCGCATAATAAGAGGACTATAATCATGAGTATTCATTCTCTTGGTCAACAGGGGAAGCCCAAGATAACGAACAGGGAGATTTCCAGCTTCAAAAGGGAACTGATCCAAGATTGCCCTACTATCATCCTCCTTAACACCAGCTAAATAAAGTGTGGACTTTTCTAAGCTGATGTTGAGACCAGACATTCTTGCAAACTCCTGAAACACAAGAAGAATTCCTTCTACAGAAGACTTCTTACCATCGGAGAAAACTAAAACATCATCCGCAAAACAAATGTGCGTTAAGTTCAGCTCTTTACAGTAGGGATGGTAACCAATTCTTTTATCAGTAGCAGCTTTGTCCAACAGCTTAGACAGCACTTGCATACAAATAACAAACAAATAAGGGGAGAGGGAACAACCTTGGCGAAGGCCTCTCGTGCTGTTGAAATAACCAGCCAGCTCCCCATTTATTTGGACCGAGAAAGACGCCAACTCAATACATTTCTTTATCCAAATGATGAATTTTCCCGGAAAGTTCAAGGCCTCTAGAACAAGAAGCAAGAAAGACCATTGTACGGAGTCAAAAGCCTTTGAAACATCGATCTTCATAGCACATCTTTCAGAGACAGAGTCTTTATGATAATTTTTCACCAATTCAGACGCAAGAAGCACATTTTCCATAAGCAATCTGTCTTTGACAAACGCAGATTGATTCAGAGATATGAACAGAGGAAGGATACCTTTCATGCGAGTAGCCAAAATTTTCGAGATTACTTTGTAAATGACATTACAGCAGGATATAGGGCGATAGTCCTTCATAGAAATAGCATCATTCTTCTTCGGAATGAGGGCCAGAATAGTCGAATTAATTCCTTTAGGAAGAAATCCCTTATCAAAGAAAGACCGAACAGCAGTGACAAAATCTCTACCAATGATATTCCATGAAGCCTTAAAAAACTCACTAGTATACCCATCAGGTCCAGGAGATTTATCCGCAGCCATGGAGAATAAAACCCTTCTCACATCCTCATTTGTAACCTCTTTAATTAGCATCGCTCTGTCATCTTCTGAACATTTGTAATTAAGCAAACTCTGCAGTTCCTCCAAACTAGAGTCCCTGAAACCCGCAGGAGAATGAGTTAGAAACTTATAAAAATAATCAACAGCTTCATGTTTAATGTCCTCCTGAGTAGAAGCAATCGACCCATCCTCTCTTTTGATCTCTCTTATAGAATTTCTAACTTCTCTAACAGTGGCTGCTCTATGAAAACTTTTGTTGTTTCCATCACCCACCTCCAACCAATGAATTTTAGCCCTTTGACATATCACCCTTTCCTCCAACTCAGACAAAAACAACCATCTACTGTAATCCACAGCCTCAGCCTGAATATTACTCTGATTAGGATCAGCAAGAGTTCTCTCTTGAGCTTCACAAAGACGATTATAAGCATCTTTAGTCTTCTTTGTGATATGACCTATTCTCTCTTTACTTAATTGTTTTAATACAGGTTTCAAAGCCTTGAGCTTCTTAGATAACCTGAAAAGCGCAGAGGTAGAACAAAAGAGAGGCTCAGTCTCATCCCAGTAGCCTTTGATACGCGTAATGAAATCAGGCATATCAACTAACGCATTCACGAACTTAAATGGCTTTCTAGGCTTCATCATATCAGTGTTGACAATAATTCGACACCTTTGATGATCCGAGCAGCCACCAGCCTCAAAAACACAATAAGATTGAGGAAACTTTCTCAACCAAATATCATTAATAAGCGTACGATCAAGCTTCTTACAGATAATCCCAACATCCCTTTTATTACACCACGTGAAACGAGGCCCTTGGTAAGACATATCCAAGAGAGAACAGTAACTCACCACCTCCTGAAAATCAAGCATACCCTGAGACCCATGCGAATCAGCTTCCACAGAGTGCTCACAATCATTCAAAATCTCATTAAAATCGCCTTGAATAATCCACGCAGACTTCCTAATAATAGGCGAGTCATAATGAGCTTTAAGATCCTTCCATAACTCTTTCCTCTCATCAACCAAATTAAAACCATAAACAAAACTGCAGAAAAATTCTTCAGCAGCACCATCTAATAAAACCGAGCACGTAATAAGTTGAGCACTTTGAAAACACGGAGTAGCTCTCACCATAGGACTCCAAACAAACCACAATCTTCCTCTACTACTATAATCGTAATTCGTAATATAGGACCAACCAGGAAAAACATCTTCCAAGATCTTCTTTACTTTATTCTCCTTCACTCTAGTTTCAATTAGACAACCAAATTGAAAACCCCACTTCTTAATCCAGTCTTTGACCACCTTATGTTTAGAAAACTTATTGAATCCCCTAATATTCCAATAAAATCCAGACATATTATTGGCGTCGAGAAGATTTCTTTCTGTTCAGAATGCTCGGAGCAATCTCCTTTGCTTTCTGACTTGTTTTATCTTTGAGATACCTATGATTCAACTTGGACTCTCTAGGAAGCATTTGTCGAGGAATAACATCCATTATTTTATCCTCTTCTTCCTGCACCAATATCTCATCATTTTCAACCCCCTCTTCTATTTCATCCACCTTGTCTTCCTCCTCAATCTCAGTATCGTCATCCTGAACCTTTGCCAAAACTGAGAAACGCGAATTTTGCAATAAAGCAACCTGTCCAAAAACCAACTCTTGCCTAATCGGAGAACGATGACTAGCCTTATTTGGGGATAGCCAATCTTTTCCATTACTCATCTCTTCTTCAGTAGGAATAACCGTATTCTCTGCAGACTTCATGTCATCCACCATTAACACTTCTTCCGCCTTGTGATCTTTTATATCTGAACTCTCCCTTGAAATCACAACATCCAACATTTTATCATTTTGAGTACCTTTCACCACTAAATCACCTTTAGTATCCTCCATTTGTTTCACAATGATCTCACCTTCCTCCAACTCATCTTGCTTGTCTTGTTTCTTTTCCTTCCCCTTAGAACACATTTTATGACCCCATGTACCACATTCCTGACATTTAGTAGGAAGCCTTGGATAGATGTATTCAATCATAACATCCTCCCCCTGTATGTTGAAACTTAACTGTTTTGGCAAATCTTTTGTTAAATCCACCTTAACAAAGATTTTTGCCATATCAATCTTCAAACACTGAGCAGTCTCTGGATGTAATCTGTCTGGAACACCAATAGGACTAGTGAGAAAACTCAAACCTTGCCAAGAATACATCGTGATCGGCACATTCTTGACATGAACCCACATTGGTATAGACTGAACTGGTGGCTTTTCTTTTTCCGTCACAGGTGACCACTTCGTCATAACAACTGGGATTCCAGCTAAGTTCCACATCCCTCTTCGCAGAATTCTATTCCTGTCAGCTTGATTCATGACCCTAAACTTCATTGATGTTTCGTTTACTTCAAAGACATCTATCCTCTGAGACTTATCATTTAGATTCCAAATCTTATTGACAATAGCATGGACTTTGGCAATATGAGGAGCATTATCCAAAAATTTACCAACCAAAAAATCATCCCAAAGCGGAGGTACATTCTTAGTAATCTCCTCTGGAACCAGCACTGAACCAATCCCATCCTTCATGAGAACCTCAATCTCGTACTTCCTCAGAATTTTCTGTCCTTGAACAGCTCCTACCCATGATCCTTTCGATCCACCAATGACACCATTTTCCTTTTTTCCAGAGACTTTCCCACCATCAGTATCCAATCCATCTTCCTCACAGTCGTTGATCTTCTCCTGAGAATTTGAAAATTCTCCAATAGGACCATTTTCAACCCTTGCTAGATCTATCGAACCCACAAGCAAACCCTTAGTCAAAGATGAATCCAGAGTAGACATCCCCTTAGTATCCTTTTCCTTCTGTTTTAGATCCTTAGATCCAATCGCACAACTTTCCTGATTTAACCCCTTCGTCGTATCCGAGATCGAAACCAAATCCAAACCTGTTTTTGTGTTAAGAAACCCATCTGTGTGATCTGTACCTTGCGTCTTCCCCAGAAACCTTCCTTCACTCATCGGAGATGAAAGTATTCCCGGCGAACCCGCCGTACTCATCCAGAAATCGATCGAGAAAACCAGTCGCAAATATCGCCTTTTTTATCGCACTTTTGTCGTTTTGTCGTTTTTTATCATCATCATCATTCGCTTAAATATACATCATCTCATTCAACAAAATTATTCATATTTTTCTTTTTCTTTTTACATGTTTTTTGAAGTTTGACTCTGCTGGCATTTATTGGGTTGAGACTTACGTCCATTAGTGTTGTATTTAGGTTTCACTGTTGTATCTCTTGTACCGTCATATATAAGGCTCTACCTTTGTAATCGATCAAGCTAAGAACTCTAAAACTTCTTCTCATGGTATCAGAGCATTAAACCTAAACACTTTTCTAGGTTTTTTGGTTTTACGATCTCGTTTTAAAAAAAAAAAAACACGTTGTTCATCATCAACTTCGGGTGGAGGTGACTAGGAGAACTATCTCTCCATACTACTTACACGCCAGTGACAACCCAGGCACAATCATCTCGAGACCTCCATTACGGGGACCCAATTGCGATGAGTGGTCGGCAAGTATACGCTTGGCATTGAAAGCACACGTAAGAAATTTGGTTTTGTGGACGAATCCATTCCAAAACCAGATGAAGACTCTGCAGACTATGAAGACTGGTGCGCAAACAACGCCTTGGTGGTTTCCTGGATCAAAATCACCATTGATGAAGCGTTGTGCTCGACCTTGTCTCACAGTGAAGATGCCTCAAGTCTCTGGACACAAATCCAACGCCGGTTTGCCATGAAGAACGGTCAGCGAGTTCAGCGACTCAAGACAGAGCTTGTCAATTGCCGTCAACAGGGCACTCCGATCGAAACTTACTACGGAAAGTTAACGGACGAGTTTGGCTGACTACCAACAAGCCAAAACTCTTGAAGAAATTGAAAAACAAAGAGAAGAAGACAAGCTTCACCAGTTTCTGATGGGGATCATGAAAATTAACAAAATCATCACTGTAAGACACCTAGGCTGTTCTTATGATGGGGTTATTAGCAAAAATTGAAAAAACATTTTTTAACTTTTAACTAAAAAAAGCTGAAAATTGGTTCTTAAAAAAGGACTTTAAGAACAATTCTTAAATAATGACTTTAAGAACCGGTTCTTAGTTTTTTAGTTAAAATTTAAAAAACAGTTTTTTAATATCCGCTAAGAATCTCACCCTAAGAACCTCCGAGTTAATCATGGTCTTACAAATTGAGACAACTCAACAATGAGACAATTCTTACTAAATTTTAAGACGGTAAGAGTAATATTAATTTTATTTTTATTTAAGTTTAAATTGTATATTAAGGTGCAAGTGGCTTAAGTATTAAGCCAAAGTTTCTATTTTAATTAAGACTTAAGTATTGAAGTGCAAATGACTTAAGACTTAAGCCAAATATACATTAAAACCTCAAATCCAAAAATAAAATAATGTAAACATATAATTTTTACTCATGTATACTAAATATCTAAAATTGACATAAAATTTGATCTGACTTGGATATTTGGAATAATAAACAAGTATTTAGAGTAAATTTGGTGTTTTGAGTATTTTTAGATATTTTGAATCTTTTGATATTTTCAAGTATTTTGAAAGCAAATTGAATATTTTTGAGTATTTTGTATTTTAGATCTTAAATTTTCAGAATATTTTTCAATTTTTAATATAACTAAACTAGGATTTTCGAAATATTCAGCTAAAAATATATTTAAAATATATATTTGGAAGATATATAAGGACACTTTTATCGCATGAAAAATGTGGGTCTCTTATGCGTGGAGTCTACCAAAAACAACAAAAACGTCAAAGAATAAACGTTTTTGGAGAGGTTTTTGTACTGTTTGTGGGCTCTACGAAAAAATAAAATAAAATTAAAAACTCGAGATAGAGTTGTGAGATAAAGATGCTCTAAGGCACATACATTAAATCTAAATTAAAAGTTACATTTCATTATGTAAAGTTACGCTTCAAAAATAAAAATTAAAAAATTAATTTCAAAATAATATAAAACTTTAATAAAGTGAATTCTCTAAATAAAGTATTAGAATTTGACCATATTTATATGATTAAGAAAGTCGTTTATTTAAGCACATTTTCATTTTTATTTAATTATTTGAAAATGTTGAATCTCTGTTAATAATTAAGATGTCATAATTAATAAAAAATCTATTTAAAATAAAAATCAAATATGCCTTATAATTTTTTATTTAAGAATTAAAATATGCTTAAATATACTGTTTTTTTTACTGGTATAGATGTGATCGAATTATAAACATTTTATTTAGAGAGTTTACTCTAACGAAAGGTGTTCGAGGGATACAACTTCATACTACTCAACCTAGAGAAACTCATTCTGGTTATGTTGATGCATCTTGGAGACCTGCTTCACATAAAGCAGGAACAGATGATACCTTTCTTCACATTTCTGCTGCTGGGGGAAACATTTTTCACATTTCAGCTGCTGGGAGACACATTTTTCACATTTCTGCTTTTTCTATAAATAGTGAGGATTTCATGCTGCATTGATCAAGGTAGGAATTTTCTTGTTCGTTGCCAAGAACTTTTACAGGTTTCTTAATTTTTTGTCTCTTTATTTTTTCTTAGGTGGAATGTTAATTTTTTTTTAATATTTTTTTGTCCAAGAGACAATTTGTATATTGCATTTATAATTTGAAAACCAATATAGTAGACCACACAACCTCAGTTTGATTCCAAAACTATTTTATAATTGGTTGCCGACTAATTTACTCGCAAAATAGTAAAAGGTAACCTGTCATCTAGTATATAATATGAAAAAACTCGAAACTAGTAACAGCTTCTACATACTAGTAACTATGTTTCACGCGATATGTTTGGATTTTTCTGTCTTAGGTTTGAGATGGGTAGTTGTGAAGAAGCTGGCATAGATAGAATGGAGGCTCAGAGGTCAGTGGTTGTCTCTCATGGTGAAAGGAAACGAAGTTACTTCCCCATGAACCTGATAAAGTGCGGGCTACGTTCACTAGGTCTCCTTCAAACCGGAGGCATGGGAGAAACGGAATCTGTGCCAGATTACCTAACCAACCTCAGGGTTTCAGATGTTTTTAACCTCCCTAGTGAAGATGTGCAGATAGATCCACAGATCTTTACTGCAGTTTGCGAGGGGGAAAAAGAACGTCTAGAGGAGTACTTAAAAAAAAGAGGTACGTCAATGGCATGTCTCAAAGGTGATCAGGGAGGTTCTGTTCTTCACATCGCTGCTGCATGCAATCATCTTGAACTAGTGAAGATCATAGCCTCTGAATGCCCGTGTCTTCTTCTGAAGCCAGACTCAAAGGACCAGCTTCCGCTTCATGTGGCAGCTCATGCTGGTCATTCAACTGTTGTTGAATCTCTTGTTGCGACAGTGGGATATGTCTCAGCTAGGCTGTCTGATGAAGAAGGGAGCGGGAGACGACGACTAAACCTATATGTTTTGAAGAATAAAGATGGAGATACTCCTCTGCACTTAGCCTTAAAAGGGCTCCATATGACCTCAGCTAAACATCTGGTGAATGCAAACCAAGAGGCTTCGTTTCTTGAAAATAATGATGGAATATCTCCCTTGTATTTGGCGGTCGGAACTGGAGACCTACCCCTTGTGCAAGCGATGTTAGAAAATAGAAAGGAAGATGGAGGACGGAGATATGTTGACATAGACTCACACTTGGAAGGAAGAAAATATCTTTTACACGCGGCTTTGAGGGCTAGGAGTCCAGGTTTTGTTTTTGGCCTTCCGACACATTAATTAGCAGTTGCAATTTGTCTGTTTTTTTATATATATACGTGCTAGCTAGTAATTTATGTGTTCCTTCCTACTTGTCTGAGCAGATACCCTTGAATTTTTGCTAAAAGAATATCCAAGTCTTGTTGATGAGCGAGATAAAGAAGGAAGGACATGTCTTTGGTTTGCAGCATCCGAAGGATATTATCAAGGAGTAAGCATCTTGCTAGAGCAATGGAAAAATGGTGTTTACGTATCGAATGATGACGGATCCTTCCCAATCCACATTGCTGTAGAGAGACGTCACATTCGAGTTGTTTACTTGTTTCTAACACTTTATCCAGATTCAAAACACCTTCCAAACAAAAAAGGTCAAAACATTGTTCACATTGCAACAAAGAGTGGGATATGTGCACTTTTTCTTTTTAGTTATCTCTGGGTAATTGGTTGGATCAATACGCTTGTGGAGAAGCAAGATGAGAACGGCAACTCACCTCTGCACGAAGCTACCATAAACTGGCGCCCTCGTACCCTATATGTCCTTTTACTCATGACCAAGACAAAATGGTTATACGTACAGAACAATGCTGGTCACACAGCTCTGGAAATCGCTGAGAACACTATGAAAGACAACTACATTTTCATGGAGGTATCCCTCATGATATCCCAAATTTTAATCTTTTTGGGTTATAAAGCCCAAATCATTTGAACCCACATTAACTACATAGATTTCAATTTTTATATGTATCTTGTTGTTGACCACCACTTATAGGCATTATATTTCGCTCTTGTTTGGATTTACAGAGGGTGACATTGATGGTGTTACTATTCTTTTATGCACCGATATCAAGAAAATCGTGGTGGAGAACGATAACCAAACCAGCAAAGCCACTAGAGGGCGGAAAATCTGACAACTACGTAGACACACTCTTGGTGGTTGCAGCTCTTGTGGCAACCGTAACGTTTGCTGCAGGTTTTACTATACCAGGTGGATTTAACGCCTCTGAAAAGAAACTGGGCTTGGCAGCTTTAGAAGATAAGCCTGAACTCGCCTATTTTATGATATTTAACATCATGGCAATGCAAAGCTCGATTGTGACCATAGCTATTTTAATATGGGGGCAATTAGGCGACAAAGCGTTGGTTCCTATGGCCTTTGCTTGGGCATTGAGGTCACTGTTTTTCTCTCTCCTCTGCATGGTGCTGGCGTTCTACTGGGGTGTTGTGGTTACGTTTGTGAATGTTAAAGGGGTTGTTATCTTCCTTAAAGTTACCTATGCGATCTTCCTTTTTCTTATGCTCTTCAACCTTGGCCCTCACGTCTTCCTACAAACACCTGGAATCCCTGCTTTCTTAGGTACCTGCTTCTTGATGTTTGTAATGCTTGTGAATGAAGACAGTTTCACCACTCCTGCGAAGAAGGAGAACTCAGGCAAGGAGGATTCCACTGCGAAGAAGGACAACTCAGGCAAGGAGGATTCCACTGCGAAGAAGGAGAACTCAGGCAAGGAGGATTCCACTGCGAAGACCGAACCGGAAAAGCAAGAGATTAACTAAAAATTATAAGAATATCTTTATCTTTTACTTTTACATTGTGTGTTCTTGTTTGTATGGTTTGATTTGCTCTCTCTCGTCTTCATTACTTTACTTGTGTGTACCCCTACTTAAATAAATAAAGTGAGTGTGTTATTTTACTTTTATTCTACTGGGAACCATTTTGTCGGGAATTTCATATACGTGTTAAATAAGTTTTTTTTTTTGGTAAAAACATATTATTTACAAAGACCGGCCCTGGGTCATGCTAAATGAAACATTCGTTACAGATTCCTCCAAATTTTTCGGAGAAAATTACATGGATAAGTTTCCAAAATTTTTTTTAGATCCCCATAATTTTTTTTTTACATAGAAATAGCAACAGATCCCCATAATCTCAAGGTCGTCCTATGTATTAGATAAGTTATCTTTTTCATAGCAAAGTCTTCGACGAAGAAGTCTCGAACTCTCTGAAACTTAATTATTTCAGTTAACTCGATTTTGTTCATCTACATGTATAATGTTTAAAATTTGACGTTAAGAGAATTCTTAAATTAAATCCTAAGCACATCCTACAAGCTACAGTAAGCAGCTAAACCTACAAAAAAAAAGCTTATAGCAACATGGCTTCAAAGAATTGCACCCCAAAAAAAACATGGCTTCAAAGAACATCACCTACCTCCTCGTATAAATTGTTTAAAACTACAATCATTTTGTTTCCACAACATTTAAATAAGTCATGCTCTAAGTGGTACACGATTTAAAGGAAAGAGTATTTGTCTGAATTTATTTTTATTCCTCGCATATTTTTAATTACAAGACAAAGCATTGGGAAAGAAAGAGTTTGAATCATTTCTCCACAAGTTGGGTGTTTGCAACCTTCACACGCCAACTTGAGGGGGTATTGGACCGGGACTTAGGTCCATTAGTGTTGTATTTAGGTTTTACTGTTGTATCTCTTGTACCGTCATATATAAGGCTCTACCTTTGTAATCGATCAAGCTAAGAAAGCTCTTTACAACCTCTAAAGCTTCTTGTCAGCTTTGGTTATAGATCGCTAATTGAGTAAAATGTTCAGTAGATTTAAAGAAAAGCAAGCTTGATGATTATCAGTTATAATTGGATCATGACAAATGGTATGAAAGTAGAGCAATGGGTGGAAAAGACAGTAATGAGTCCAAATTACAAACAAGAAGACAGTGTCTGAGACATGCATCAGGATGATGCACAAAACACTCAAAACGGTCAAACCAGAGTACAACCATACACAATAATGATACATTTCACTATTTATTCACCACATTCAACCCTACATTTCACTATTTATCAGGTTCACTGCATCCTCTTTACATTAATTATCAGCAAGGTGGCATGCCCTGAATTTAAAGTAGTTAAAACAATCTCATATAACATATGAGTCTTCTAAGGTTCTTACTAACTAAACTATCTCCAAGAACCTCTTAGGATAGTCTTCTAAGGTTCTTAGAATAAATTATTATATTTAATTTTAGTGGACCAAAATAAATTAGAATAAATTAGTGAACCTCTTAGGTGAGTCTTCTAAGGTTCTTTTGAAATTTAATTATAGTGGACCAAATAAATTAGAATAAATTTTATATTTACCCACTGCAACATTATACCGTTGCTTCCCCACAACCAATAAATTGTAGCCGTTGGACTAGAAAAAATATTATTATTTGTATTGAATCTTATTTTAGTGGACCAAAATACTTTATTATATTTAACCCACTGTAAGATGTTGAAACACCTCACGGTAAAAACATATTTCACTCTATCCTACTTTTAAGTTCATTATATCAGTGATAAAAAAATAAATTAAATTTAGATACAGAAGTTTGGTGAAAATACGTATACTTATACAATTAAATTATATACGAGTGGCGGCTTGAACTAGTGTGTGTACATGTAAGGGTTAAATCCCATTGTGTTACATTTATGAGCAAAAGAAGAAAAAAAAATGTCAGGATCATGTTGTTTTCTTATGTACGAGAGAAAAAGTTATGCATGTGGAGATTGATTTACATCTGAAGCTGAAGGCTGCTCAGTCCCATAGTTCCACAAGTCTCTGAGTTCTTTCCTCACAAGTCCGAGTATGACCGTGATACCGAGAGTGCAAGGCACTAGATAGAGCAGTGCAGGTTGACCATGTCCGTTCATAAGATATAGTCCCAAGTATGTTAAGAATAGTCCAAGTCCGTAACCAAACATCAACCATGGGAAGTATCCTCTCGCTACTCCTTTGTGGTTTTCTCTGTCATATCTGAGAGAGAGACGCAAATGGGTTCAGGATTGAATAAGAACAGTGATTGGAATCATCATGAGAGTGTTACCTGAAGATAAAGCATATGAGAAGACCAGGGAAGAGAATGTCTCCAAAACCAATCATGTTGTAACCACCCCATGGATCAGAAAGTCTTGGAAATCTCAGTAGCATGGGAATAGATTCTCCTGTGTCTTTGCTCCCACGTGCAACCTATATGTCATAGATTAATAGCTGTTAACGTTATGTGACATACATTGGTTAGTGAAGGAAAAAATATAGAAAACTCACCGCAATCATTACACTTTGCTTGAAGATTAGTGGTGACAAGAACACCCAAAAGATGTCATAGAAAAATGCACAACAGAGAAGAATGGTAGCAACCTAAAGTGTGTTAAAAAAAACCATTAGAACATACAAAGGGATCACAAATGAAAATATAAACACAAAAACTCACCCTGATATTAGGTAGCCTAGCCACTTGCAAGACATTAATCATCAAGCAAATACCCTGTATTTAATAACAGAGCCAAAAACTGAGAAATTTAGCTTTCAAACAAGTAATAGAGTTACGAGTCTTAAGAGGGACTTACAAAAATATCTTGGCCAGCCCATGCATAAGAAGCTTTGCGGTTTATGAACCATACAACAGCAACCACAAAGCAGAATAACAGAACCATGAGTGATAGAATCGTTACATTCCCAAATAATGGGATTTTCACTGTCTTCCTGCCACATTTATTGCATCTCCTGCAGTGGAATAAAAAACATGAATAAGAGAAAACAACACATGATGCTTTTGGCTAATTAGAACAGAGATCTCTTTCACGAGTTGAAAAGATTTAGGATTCAAGGTATACATTGTTAAGAGGGTATAGATAATATTATGCATTCCCTGAGATACAAAAATATATATTAGTAACTATGATGTGAAGGTTAAAGATAAAATAAAGATACAACAACATTACCTGCATACCACCAATGCAGAAAAAGATGGTGAGGATCAAGATGAACCATGATGACATAAAGAAGAAGAGCAACACAAGGAACGTGGACGCTGATATGACAAAGATAACAGCACCAGTAGCACTGATATCAAGTGTTTCATCGTCATCTTTAGCATCTTTGGCAGCACCATCAACTGAAGACTTCTACCAAAAAAGATTCAGATGTTAGTGAAAATAACATCTATTAGTTTGGAACTAAGACAAGATCATGCAACTTTTTTTGTTGATAAATATGTATTATATGTCATGGTTTCATCTATGCCAATATGTAGGGGAAAAAAAAGATTAGTTTCAGTAGAGCTCTTAAATAAAGCACCTTTGGTGATAATTCATTGTACTCCTCTTGGTTCACTTTAGGAGCGGTGCAATGTGACCAAACAGAAGCAATGAAAACTGTTCCAACAGACATTAGCCAGAGGAATGCCACTGCATAATCCACAACTGGGCTTTTTGGAGTATACAATAATAGCTCCACTGCAACAAATAGAGTTCATCAAAAAGAATGGTACAAAGAAACAGATAGACTATCATTAAAAATGATAGAATAAGAAATTACCTTTCTTATTTGCCATAAGGGATTTTTTCAAGGCTTCTCCAGAGGATATTGGAATCATCAAAACAGGTATAGTAAGACTTAAGGAAGTTTCTCCCTCAGTACAAGCCATCTCATCCAACTCTGTAAACAAAAAAGCAAGATATGAGAAACAAAGAGATGTCAGAGGCTCATCAAAGCAAAAATCCATAAGGTTTTCAGTTTAAAAGTCCAAACCATCTTTGTCGTTTATTAAGACCAAAGCTGCAGCTCCTCCTGCCTGTGCAACCTGAGCCTTAGCTGTGAAAGTACATTCCCCACGCACAGATAACGCAATAGAACCAGATAGCTGCAATAACAAAAGAAGCATCATAACAATGAAACACAAAAACATGATGGTGATTATGATGGAGAAGACAGAGAGACAACAACAACAAAACCTTTGAGGTTAAATTGGAGCAACTGTTCAAAGGAGTAGTAAGAACAACAGGAAGTCTAACAGCTTTGTCTTTATCAGAAGGAAGCATGGCACCAAACTGAGCAGTCAGGCCACTAAAATCTTCACCATTTTCTCCATTAACCCAATGCTCAACCTTGACCTAGACAAATCTTTTCTATATTAATAAAGATTCTTATTGATAACCATAATGAGCCATTCGAGATTTACCATTTCATATTCGTTAGAACAGCCAGGAATCTTGGGAGCCACGGCATCTTTAGAAGGAGGTTCACCAGCACCAAGGCATAACAGACCGGTTAGATAGAGGGCCACGGCCGCCGCGAGAATACGGCAGCTAAACGGAGGCAACGACATCGCCACCCTAAGAGAGGGGATAGAGAAGTAGGGAATCTTAGGTTGATGATGGAAGAAAGAAAAAGAAGGGAGCGAGAAGAGGGAAATAGATTATTCTCCGTTCACCTTCCTTGTTACACAAGTCATTTTTTCCCTTTTTTAATCTTTTCTATTTCGATTTCTTTTTTTTTCCCTAGCTTTACATTAATTTCCAAACAAATGAAGGAAAAAACTCATAATAAATTAAAGACAACCAAATTAGTTTCCATCGTTAATTTGACAATGATCTAAAATAGATAAATATTTGTCTATAAACAAACGAAGTAGAATGAATCGAGATAATTTAAAATATTGTCACTTCATGAGATAGAGTCCACTTAGATGCTGACCTCAAATGAGTCCAATTAGCAGCAAAATATGTCTGTTCTCAACAAAAGCTATAACTTTCTCTGAAGAAGATGAAAAGGAGGAACTCTTTCTTCTCAAGTAATTTGTTTCAAAGATTGTTTTGAGCTTGGATGGATTGTGTATTGTGGCAAATGGAATAAATGAGTGAAATGAAGAACATTAGTTAAAGATATATAGTTAAAGTTCAACTTTACAAGAAGACCCCTACTGATTAACTTCTACGTTTTTTTAGGCTTTATAAGACCTCCTTCATAATCTCCATCTATATTCCACAATTACATGAAGAAAGACACGCTAACAAAGCTCCTAAACCAATAATATAACCAGAACCAAAAATGTTGCCAAAACAGGTTTCTTGTTGTGTTTTGGCAAAATATATTCTCTCTAGTTTAATAGAGAATCATCAAACAAGAAAGTATCAATTCTCTCTAGTTTAATAGAGAATCATCAAACAAGAAAGTAAATCCCAACAAGTCTTCTGATCAAGAAGTTCACTTAAGACAGATCTTCCATTCTCAGTGAGATGCAGTGTAGGTTCTTTTGCACAGAATCTAAGGAAATCGCCAAAAGTGCATTGCCACTGTTCGAACGCCAAGTAAATGTAATCATCATCATACATCAGATCATGGAGCCGAAGGACGCGTTTCGAAACAGCCTCAACTCTATAATGGTTATGTCTTTCGAGGAGAGCAGCCCTAAGCGCTTGAGGCGAGTTTCTGATGCGTTTGACCAACACGGCTCGCTGCTTCAGTGAAGCCAAAAAGTACTCATTACCTTCAGGATCCACAGCATGTGGAAGATATGAAGAGAAGAGCGATCATTGAAATTAGAAGTGAAGTTAAACTGAACCTAATTATATAATTAAGATTTGCTTATGACAGTAAATTTAAGATGCAACTAACTTTAACTATACTGTATATGATATTAAAATCACACCATAAGATTTGTTTTTATGGCATCATGACATCTTAATGGATCGAAGTGTGAATCCCATTTGACGCCTTCGAAGTCCCACCAGACTTTGATCTTCAGTTCAGAATCAACATGGTTCCACATAATATAACATTGAAGAAAAACATGAAAATGTATTAGGGGACAAAATTTGTTCAAAAAAACTTTGGCTCATATGGAAGCTAACTAGCTTCGTAACTTAATACTAATATCTTTGTGTTGTCATCTTAACAAAATCTACAACATGAATACAGTAATATGAAATGCCTATCTTAGAAACAAAGAGAGATATTTTAAAATAGAGTTATGGACTTAGTACAATCAATCTAAGAGTTGTGTCAATGATTTAAGTTCTTATACATGTTGTATATTCAAATATTTTCATGCACAGTATATTACAAAATATATCAATATCTATATATAGTTATGTATTAGACAATTGATACTCGGTATTGCATAATGATATTCATTTGTTCAAGACACAAGTTATATAATCAACTATAAAAAGTATTAAAATCGAATATTATTTTAAACTGTTTAATATGATTGAGAGAGAGATGCTTTTCATGGTTCTGAATAAAAAGTCTTTCACTTTGCAAAAGAAAAATAAACCGATCCAATCAAAGTAAACCGAATACCGAGTCAGCTTAATTAGTTTTGGGCCACAAGAGTAAACAAAAGGCTTTAACTATTGTTTGAATATAAGATGGCAATAGTTCATTCAATAATGTGTTGTTTGATCTTTAAGAGTAAACTAGATTTTGACCCGCGCAACCGCGCGCGGCTGTTTGTTTTCGTTTATAGTTAGTTATATAAACACTTTGTTTTCACTTGTAAATTGATATATATTATAGTAATCACATATTTACGATATGTATAGTAAATGTTTTTCAAACATTATAATATTATATAATACGTGTTTTAATCAAATAGATTGTTTCAAATTTTCTATATTATACATGTTTTTCAAACATGTGTTTGTTTCTTCTTCTATATTTTATTGTTTGTTAAATTAGTATTTCATTTTTAGATAAAGTAATATAAATAGAGCTTGATTAAATATTAGTATACTTTAATTTGCAAAGATACTATAAACTTCGAAGAAATTTTTGCTAAAAACTAAACTTATAGCTTCATAAATTAATATTATAAATAATTTTACTAAAAAATAATTTTTAAACAATTTCCTTTTTCAAAAAACAATATAATTTTAAAAATTTACATCGAAATAAATTTATCTAGAATAAAAAATAAGTTTTTAAACAATTTCCTTTTTTAAAAAATATAATTTTAAAAATTTACATAGAAATAAATTTATCTAGAATATATATCGTGTAAATTTTGTTAGGGTATATAAATATTCCATATTACGAATCTGTGATTTTTGTTAATATATTGTGGATGCATTTAACTATTCTTGACATATTTTCTTATAAATATAGAAGATTCTTAAACTTATATCTATTGACATATTTTGCGTAACTAAGTTGAAAAGTGTGTGGTAATTTACCAAAACCAAATTGTTAAACATATCTTTGTTATTATAGATAAGATTTTTCATAAGATATAATAATGATAAGATTATTAGAAAGTTAATGTAACATACAATATGATTTTTCATAAGATATAATAATGATAAGATTATTAGAATACTTTCTAGTAATAGTCCATTTTTAAAAAAAAAATCACACATGAATTCAAGTTATAACTTCTGTTTTAATATATAAGATAGAAACATATATGCACATTTTGTTGTTTATTCCAAACATCTTTCATGTCTCTGTGTCATACTACTACTATATCAGGTTCACTTGTCTGATCGCAAAAGAGATTTCGAGACTCTAGAACCTTGTGCATCGCATGTCTACACCTGGTGTAAGAAACCAAGACTCAGAGAGTTTCATTTTTAAAAATTTGAAGTTTTGGATTAGAGTTTAAGAGTTTCTACCTCCAAGGAAGATGATCAAGGAACATTGATGGAGAAACCATAAGTTCTTTAAAGCTCTCTTTGTTTGCAACATAAGCTTTGTAACCAGTACCTGTCACATCACAGATCGGCCAGCCTCGCCATATCGGCACACTCATGTTGTTTACTTCTGGTACAATATGAATGACTAAACCGGGCAAGAACATTTCCGGAGCTTCTTCATCTTCTTCTCCTCTTGTTGGCACTGTTTCCATAAACTGAGTCACAAGATTATCTGTTGAGGCCACCATCTCGTGGAACGGATTTATAAACTCTTCGTCATGTTGCATCATTTCTGGTTCAGCTTCTTCCCGAGAATCTTCAACTTATTAAGACAAGAAGAAGCAGATCTTTCTCATTAGGTAATCTTTCTTGATGTAGAAACTAAATGTTAAAAGAGTTATCATCATACAAAGTGGTTACCAGTTATTGATAATGGTATTGCTTGTTCTCCTTCTTCAACAACATTTTGTCGTTGGCGTTTGCTGGCAGACAAGAACCGGCGTGCGAGTCTGAAAATGAGTGCTGTATCAGCTTTAGGGTCTTGAGACAGCACTTTTAGCGCTGCTACTTGGAGTCGGCGGATTGATCCATAAGAAAGCCGTGATGAGAACTCGTTATCAAGTACAATGCTGGTTAGGGACTATAAAACATTAGTGACTTGTCTATAAATCATAAGTGTCAGCATATGATTCATTACAAAAACAAAGTAACCTTGTTACAAATTCTGAACAAGCTTCTGCCACATCTGAATCTACACATGGGAGTGGTCCATATGCATATACATAGAGGTTAGGGAACCTGCAACGAAGCTATACGCCAGAAAAGAAAAGAGTCAGGACATAAGAGATAAGTACTAAAAGGAAAGATAATCTTTTGTGAAATTGAAAACATACTCTAATTCCTAGTAACGAGGCAATCGCACCTCCTAAGGAGTGTCCAACGATGCGAATGCTGTAACCATCACACTCGCATCCATCACCAATTAACGAAGACATGAACCCCATAGATTCTGATTCTGCATACTCCATTTGTATGATTAGCTTAGAGAAATCTTGTGTTGTGACAAGTTAATACCCCTAAACTCTTACCTCCAAATTTTGGTTCACCTTCTATTTGCATAAACAGATCTCTTGCAGCTTCTACTATTCCTGAATGCCCATAGTGTATACGAGAAGAGTCCATCACATGAATGTTACTGACATATAACACAAGAAAAAAACAATAATAATTTCATTATTGATTCCAAACTCACAAGTACAGTCTTTTTTTTATAAGAGAGGGAGAAAGATAGAGACTGACTTTGTTAGCCCTTCCAAGTCTTCAGCAGTTAGTGAACAGGCACGACCTAAACCATCAGTTATGAGATCTTCAGCCGTCTCTGTTCCTCGAACAGCAATTACAACACATCTAAGATAATGTAAGACTACAACGAAGTACGTTGCTTTACACTTCTCCTGCCACAACAAAATTAATTACACAAATCGATGAGAAACGATTCTGAGGCATTGAAGACACAAGATACTCAAAGAAAACTTCAAATACACATAATGTTTTCCTTCTACTATTTTGATTCATTGTGTTAAACCATAGATAAAAAAGCAAGGCATACAATCTTTACTATTGGTTTTAGGACATAGGACTAAAGGGAACAAACTTACACTACAAATTCGACCTCGTCTAAGAACATGAGCAGGAAAATCAATGAACTTGAGGAAGGCAGCTGCATGACCTCGCCACCAATTGTCACCATCAAGCTTAGGCCGCCTGCGAATAAATTTCAAGGAAAACACTTACACCAATTTGTCTATACTAACATCAGTTATCTAAGTTGAGTTTCTTCAAACGAGCTAACCAGGTATAGTATACCATTTACGGCTCCAAGGTGTTAAAATCCCTTGCCTACATATCCATGTGCATAAAAATAAGGCAGGATTTCTCCCAACATCGAGCAGTGGCCCCTGCACAAAGCCACATACGCAGGTAAGAAATAGTAATATACATCTGAGAAACAGCTTTGGAGTCTTGTGTTGTTCAAACGTACAGTATAAGCAGCTTCTGCAAACTTATGCAACGTAGCAGCCTCCTGAAGATGAAACGCTGGAGCTTCCATACAGTCCTCATATGATTCATGAAACTTGCTATTATTCTGCAACAGTGCAAGGCCTGCAAAATAGACGAAGATTAGAGAATGTTCACAGAGAAGTGAAAACTAGAGACGACAAGAGACTCCTGATAAATAACCATAGCATATCAATTCAAGATTTTATTTAGGGCACTCTCTTCATCACTCAGACAGCAAAGGTATGACACTTATAGAGTTTTTCCACAGACATCATCATTAATAACAGTCAAGGCTTATTTAAGTTTCAGATCTTATTAACCTGCCAAAAATTCCAAATGGCCAGTGCCTGATGCACGATATGAAACAAGATCACCAAGCAGTCTTGCAACTGAACACACTTCATCTTCCTCAATAACACCCCTGAAACAGACAATCAAGTCCTAAGAGTTTGGACAAGTAAACTTGCTACAGACAAGAAATCAGTTTCCAATTCACTAAACTTACATATATTCGCGACGTCCAAGACAGCACAAAACTTCACGAATCCCATGGTCAAACACCTCTTGGTAATGAGCTTTCCAGGCATCATCTTGAGTTGCATAGAAAGATCTCCATTGCAATATATCTGATCCCGTAAAGCATTGAGCCAACGCAACAAAGCAAACAGTGATCAAGAAGGAAACCTGCAGCGTTTGCTTCCACCCACGAGTATCTGGAGATAGCCCTGAGCAAAGAAAGTTACTAAAAAGATTCTTAAACACGCAAAAAGTGTAGATCACTGTACTACAAACAAACATTCAGTATTCAACAAAGAGGGAAGATATCAAGATTTCAAATAACAACCAAACAAATGTAATTTTTTGTGTCTTTTAAGTGTACCTAAAACGCAATGCTTTGGCATTCCATTAGGGGAAACAAAGGTGGAGACACGGAACATAAGGTAGGCTGCACCAAGAAACTGCAATAGAGTAATTACCATTGCAAACCGAGTCCACCAAAGCCACGTCTTATACTTCAACTGCAAATCCAGTTAAACCCAAAAAATCATGGTGTCACGTCATATCAGAATCTACAAAGTAAATGAACCATTAAACACTAAACCGAAATGTATAATTACAGAAAAATTACACAATCCTACGTTTCTATGGACCTCTAGATTCTCAGGAACCTTCTCTAACACCCTTCCTTCAAAGACGTGAACAATGATGTCATAACAGAATCCACAAAGTAATTGCATAATTTCATAACAACTTCTATGGACCTCTAGATTCTCATTAACATTCTTTAACACACTTTTAAGCCAACACCCTTCCTTCAAAGACTTGATTTTTAAATGAAAATTCACAATTTAGAAGGTGAGAATTGGAAAGATAGACACGTCACCTTTCTTTCGAGGCTGTAATGAGTAGGAGACTCCATGATGGTCATAGCCATAAGCTCCTGTGTGGTGCCAACCTTAACCATGGCAGCGAGTTTGACGCAAGCGGCTACACAAACGGCGTAGAGGGGAAACAGTTGGGCGGCGCTGTCGCAGTTTGAGTTGGAAACGAGAGACAGAACACCGCCGGAGACAATCACGGTCAAATTGGCGATGATGAGAATCATAATCGTTTTCCTAACTCTCTTCAACCTCGAAATCCACATGATTGTTTTTTGTGTTTTTTTTTCCGGGTGGAGAGGTTTGTGTTCTTGTTCCGGTGATCGTACTCGGAGATTAGGTCAATGTCTCGACGGGCAAGAAAGCACGAAGAGACATCTCCCGAGAGAAATCCGGACTCGATCTCTGTCGATTTTTTTTTTTTTTCGTTTCAGATATGTTTTTGGGAGAAAACAAATTGATCTTTGGCTGACACAGTTGGAAACTTTTGTCGGAACGAAATAAAAATAATTAAATATAACACCGAACACTTTATTAAAAGTTTTTTTATAAGTACTATATGGTTGACTTGCTACCAAAATTATACTCCCTCCATTTAAAAAAAAATGAAAATTCTAGAAATAATATTTGTTTAAAAAATATGTACTTTTTATATTTTTAATGTATAGTTTAATGAAAAATTGTTGATTCAAAAAAATTAATTATGTTTTTTAAAATTTTATTAGTTAAAAAATATATAAATTTGTTATCTATAATAAATAATGCATTGGTAATCAAAATTTTATGTTTTTCTTAATATGTGTGAAAAAAATAAAACGGAGAGTATTTCATTACTAATTGTTCCCAAGTAATATATGATGAATAGTGAGTTGGCCAATTATTATTGTAAGCAATATTTGTTTTTTTTTGTAACAAAACAATATCTGTTTAGAGATAACATGAAACTATTAAGGGATGATAAACTACTTCTTTTGTTATATTACAAAAACATAGCAATGTGAAACAGAGCAGTCTCTCTTAACAGAGCAGAGTTTTGGAATGCTAGAGTGTTCTTTTTTTTATGTGCAACAGTGCATGAAGAGGCCATGAGATTGAGATGGATCTTTTTCAACGTTAACATGACCAGACACAAATGGATCCCGGGTCAACAATGTCGACCTGGCCATGAAGGAAGGGAGCTAGGATTCTAAGCTTATTCAATCACAGGACTATAAGTACCATATGTTTTATGTGGTATATAAGGGCATGGTTTGGCAACAAGGTTGGTGAAATTCCCTGGTTTCAGTCACCTATGAGATCCCCAGCAAGTGTTTCAACCACACTTCATTGTAATCGCGAATCAGAAGAAATAAGCTCTAGAACCTCACGGATACAAGCGGTCTCCACATGAGCACTGTCACCAGCCATGAACACATGTGTGCGATCATCAATCTCAATCGAACTAAACCCAGGCTGCTTCTTTAGACCTAAACCCTTCATCTTCCTTCTCATCTTACTTGCTCCTTCCCACTGTCCATCAGCAGCATACATATTCGAAAGAATCACATAGTTTGAATGGCTCTTCACTTTAAGCTCACTAAGACGCTTCATCATCCTCTCTGCTAACTCTCTATCGTTCCCATGAGTCCTGCAAGCTGCAAGCAACGAGCCAATCACAACTTCATTAGGCTTCATCGGCATCCCCTCTACAACTTTCAAAGCATCTTCCAATCTCCCAGCACGGCTATACAAATCAACTAAACATCCATAGTGTTCAATTCTCGGTGTGATCCTATAATCCCTTTTCATAGCTTCGAAATAACGAACACCTTCTTCAACTAAACCAACATGACTACAAGCAGTTAACGCCCCAGTGAACGTAACCGCATCAGGCTTAAACCTTTCCTCTTGCATTCTCCTAAAGTAAACCAAAGACTCATGCGCATGCCCATTAGCAGCAAACCCAACAATCACTGAGTTCCAAGAAACCACACTCCGTTTCTCCATCTCATCAAAAACCTGTCGAGCAAACTCCACACACCCGCATCGACAATACAAATCAATCAGCGAATTACTAACCCTAACATTATTCCTAAAATCCTGACTCACAACATAACGATGCACCCACAATCCAAAAGATAAAGCACCAAGATTCGTGCAAGCGGCAAGAGCTGAGATAACAGCAACGTAATCTGGCTTCACACCAGAAACTTGCATCTCACGGAACCAAACCAAAGCTTCCTCGTGCAAACCTTTCTTAACAAATCCGTTTATCATAGCCGTCCAAGAAATCAAATCTCGTTCAGGCATTTCGTCGAACAGTTTAACTGCATCGTCCACTTGGCCGCTCCTCATGTAACCGTCGATCATTGTATTCCAAGTAACCGAATTTCTATCTCCCATGTGATCGAACACCAACCTAGCTTTCCTAAAACGACGTCGTTTTGAGTACATGCCGAGAATCGCCGTGCCTACCATGACATGGTTTTTAGCAAGGCCGAGTTTACAAGCATGTCCGTGAAGCGAATCGCCGAAAGGTTCGTTATCGATACATCCAGAGAGTAAGGCGATGAAAGTGATGTGGTTAGGTTCGACGCCGGAGATTCTCATGGCGGTGAATTCGTTGGCTGCTTCGGCGAATCGGCCGTTGCGTGAGAGGAGAGTGATGCGAGAAGTCCATGAGACTGTGGTTTCGATTGGATTGGTGTGGCTATTGCGAGAGATGAAAGGTTTCTGTTGCGGTGGCGCCGGCGATGGGATTCCGATGGCGGGAAGGAGAGACATTGGATAGGATAGTGTGATTTGCTAAACCCGAATTTAAAACTAAGAAGACCGAAAAGATAAACCGGGAAAATCGGATTTTAGATTTGGTTTTATATTAATGAACCGGAGTGATGTTCTTTACCAAGTATCAAATCCGTTTTTAAATGATTTAACCGGAAATAACCGGATTGGATTACCAGCAACGACATTAATTTCGCATCTGTGGAGGCTTTGGATCTGTTGATGAGAAAAGAGAGAGAGATGGAGATGGCTCGAGCGTGGTCGAAGATGGTGATGATGTTGATGATTATATCGACGATCTCAGCGAAGGAGCAGCTGAGCAGTAAAGAGTGCGAGGATCTAGGATTCACCGGTCTTGCTCTCTGCTCTGATTGTCACTCACTCTCTGAATACGTCAAGGACCAAGGTTCGTTTCCTTATATGCGTGTGTAGATATGAATCTCGATTCGGATGTGCGGTGATCTGTAATGTGAAATTGTGGATTAGGATTGCTTAAGATATATTTAGTAATTTAAGTAGTCAATAGTAAATATTGTATACACCAATGTGTGTGTGTCACTGTCACGCGAATCAAACTCTTTTGGGAGCTATCATATCATATTGTATATACCATTGTTTGTAACTTTGATTATGTTAATATTAGTATTGTGTTTGCAGAGTTGGTATCTGACTGCTTGAAGTGTTGTGCTGATGATTCTGAGGATTCCATGAGTAAGGTATGCTTTTTTAAACTGGGAATAGATTAGATATGGAGATAGAAACATCTTCTCTTAGATTCATTGAATGTTAGATAATGAGAGTGATGATGACTTGTTGACATTTTTTTTTTTTTTCGTGGCTGTAGGTTACCTATTCAGGGGCGATAATAGAGGTGTGTATGAGAAAGCTGGTTTTCTATCCTGAGATTGTTGGTTTTATTGAAGAAGAGAAACAAAACTTCCCTACCCTTAAAGTTCAGTACATTTTCAACTCCCCACCCAAGTTGATCATGCTCGATGAAGATGATGAACGTAAAGAAACAATAAGGTAAACTTTCTTAGCGCCCCTTCTCTTTCTCCAAATTTTTTGCTCTGGAGTCTGGAATAATCTCAAGTTGGGGGCTCTTTATTTTAACAAAGAGTTTTGGTAGGGACTCGAGTTTAAGATGACTTATTAGGCTAATATATTGGTGTTAGCAAGGTAGATAAATGTGTAAATGCAACTACCAAGTTCGAAGCAATTTTGAATTTCACTCTCTGGATGCGCAGTTACATTCTCGCGTATTGATTACTGAAACCTCCTCCTTTGAAAATTTGTTTTTGGAGGAAGATACTTTCATTTATTAAGCAGCATGAATATATTAAAACTAGTGATGTTTTTTGACACCCCATCCACTGTTAGCAGAAGGACTACATTCCTACCAAGTTTTAACTCATCTTTTTGTTTCTTGATTTGCTTTCTTTGCAGGATCGATAACTGGAAACGTGAACATCTACTGCAGTATATGCGGGAGAAGGTCAAGCCTACTTCATCAAGTTAGTCTAATCACTGCGATCACTTTGTACGGCTGAATACCCTGTGTTAAAGCACTGTGATCTAATAGTTAAATAACACATTGTGATTGGCTTGTGTTTACTCTATCCAAGCTATTTGGTCCCTCGGCATCAGTAGTCTGTATGCTCTGAACCTTTGCAATCCAAGTATTAATGCCTTCTTCCAATGTTCTTATGAAAGAAGAGTAACTTGAATTTTGTACAAGCAAAATCCATCGCACTTCTTGTGTTATATATTAGATAGCTTTGATAAGATCACAACAAAAATTTAAGATGTCTGAGGCAATATTTGGCATAAAGATTACTTAGCATTAAAATCGTTTGGTTTATGCTTGGGCAAATTACATAATAAGACAGTTAAATAAGCAGTCAAATAGTAACAGCTGAGCTGTTCTAAACCAACTTCATGTGTCTCTGGTCTACGTATGAAACAGAGGCAGCATCTGACCATCTTCTTAAGGCTTAAGACAAAGATCTTAGTAGGTTGGTAAGAGTCGAGTCAGTCATCTAAAGGGTGACTGATGAGACTGGACACCAAAAGCTGGAGATGGGGGAGTCTTCACGGGGGCCCAGATATCAGCCCCGTTGCTTTGAGCAACTCCTGCTGTATACTCCATTGGAACAAGACATAATCCTCTGTTTCTCAGGCTGTACTGCTCCAGTTCCTCCTGTAAGATATTCAAGGTTATACTTCAGATACGAGTGTTGAATATTGCAGAATGATTAGTTTCTGCTAGTGAACCAATGAATGTGTTCACCTGCGTAGTAGCAGTCATTGTTTGCAGATAAGGAGCGCTTAGCACCTGCACAAGAACAACATGATGTTTTATTCGGTTAAAGGTATTGAATTGATGAAGAGCCATGCGCAGACCTTTACTTGCTCATGTAGAAACTCTATGTAATGCAATGCGTCTTGAAGAACTGATGCAGTGTCGGTCTGCAGCATGAGAGTCAAAAGAAGGTAAGATTAAAAAAAGCATGTATGGAGGGGGATGTATTCAGTTCTTTTGATGTACCTTTCCGTAAGGGGAAACTATCTGTTGAAGAGCTGAGATACGTTCTCCAGCTTTGTCCTTTCTCTGCTGTTTAGACCATTAAAGAGAGAACAAAGATGGCAGAATCATTACCATGCTGGCTAGCTAATACTACACTCTTTGTAAGTCTCCATGGAGACTAGGTTAAGTAATCAAATACCTTGGAACTGAAAGAGAGATCAGACTTATGGCGCTTGATGCTACTTTCTTCAAGAGAACATACACTCTGCTTATTTTCCATCATCATTCCAGCTTCTCTAGAGAACTCCATCCCTTTGTCAATGAGAATAAAAAAAAACAGAGAAAAAAAAACATCAAGAACTGTGTAAACTCATCATCAAGCCAACATGATTAAGACAACTAATAAGAGCAAGACAATTCAACAGAGGTTTAACAGACCAAAAAGATTACTAGATCCTGATCTTGTTTTGGACCAATCAATGCATTGGGAGACATTATATGGATTAGAGAATACTAAGCCAAGACAAAGGTTTGGTCAACGAAGTAGGCAAAGACCTTGGGGTCAGAGGCTAAAGGCCTTGAGGGTTCACATCAAGTTAAGCATTATTTTAAGGATTTGCAAGCACAATTATAAGCTCATACAGAATATCTTATGATAAATTGCTTAAATTATATCATATTATAAACTGACAATAACATATTATCTGCATGAATCACTTTCGTCCCTTAAAAACAGGAGAAAACTAAAAACAAAACAAAACAAAAACAAGAATCCTCCACGGAACAGAGCAGACCAAATAGACTTGCTCAGGGGACTACTCTACTAACTTAAACTATAAATTAACTTCTTCCATTACAATAAAAAGAAACTCTGTGAATAGATAAAAAACTGTTAACATCATCAAAGATTGTAAGTTTTATAGTCATGAGACTTGTGTAAATGAAACCAGAAGCTATCACCAAGAAGAGGAGAGACAAGTAAATATGCTACAAGTTTGTATAATAAAGAAACAGAGCAGAGAGAGAGAGATGGACTCACAAACTGGCAGAAGAGTCTAAGAAAAAAGATTTGCTCCTCAAGACCACACCACTCACAACTTCTCAAAGCTCCAACTATTCTTCCTCAAAACCCTAAAAACAATTGTATTATTTTTTGTCCTTGAGCTTCTTGACAACACAAAAACCGAGAAGACACAAATGTTTCTCTCTCTCCCACTCTCTATGTTTTGAGTTTTCTCAGTCCAAAAGGAAAAATTCCAAACCGTATTACATGTCTTTTTGGAAGATCGCGCTGTGTAACGCTAATATCAGGTCATGAAGAAAGAAGAAGAGCTCAAGCTAAGTGAAAATGGAGTCGTTTCTTTTAAAAAGGATTAAAGCATTAGCAGAAATCTCGGCCTTAGAATAAGGGAGAGAGACAGAAGAAACTGTGTGTGTATGGTAAAGAAACATCTACTACCATTTAACTTTTGCAAACTTTAACTTTATAAAGTTCTAACAGATGAGTATAGATTAAAGACTAATAATTCCTAATTAATTCCAGACTAGTTGAATTTAATTCATAGGTAAACTTTTTAAGATTGACTGATACTGCTCGTGGAAAACATTTTGATTGATATTTTATCGTAAAATAATTTGACAGCTATTATGCAACCCATAGGGATGGAGAAAGGGCCTAGCTAGAAGTTAATATCACTCCCCCAGGTAGAATTCGCTTTTATTATATTTTCAACACTTAGTTATCATTATCATCATTATAGATGATAGTATATAGCCTTATTTTTCTTTGTTTGACAATGACATTTGAAAAAGTTTTTTAAAATTGTCAAAACATTTGACCAACTCTCAATCTTTACCTTTCAACTTTTTGGCCTTTCTCTTTCTTTTTGAATTTTATCTCTCTTTTCTGATTGAATATTAACCTCAAAAGTCATATCAAGCAGAGAGAAGAGGGTAAACGCATCGAACTCTACTCACCATAGCCAGTACAATTCTCTGAGTTGTTGATATTTCAAGATAAATTAATAAATCAATCAATCAATCGGATTCACAATGAAAAGAAACATCAACACATGAAATATAAAGAGAAAGAAAACATCAATTCTTTATAAAATATAGTACAGTGTCACTCACTTTTACATTATTATTTTTATAAGATATGCTACACCTAATTAAGTTTGTATCAAAGAAAAGCATATTATCTGAAAACTATTACTCACAAGAGAATTAGATGTAGAGTGATGATAGTAATAAAGTTAGATTTTATCATTAATAGCTTAAATTATTAAAGTGACTGAGAGACAAGTAAGACAACTATAAGCTTGTCTGACGTCAATACAAGCACGCACGAATATTCAGACACGCTCACAAGACGCGCGCGCGTTTTGAAATCATTCACGTTCCAGGAGTTCAAAAGAATCGCGTTTATAAAACGTAGAGTAGGTTTAAATAGAGATTTGTGGGGACAGATGCACAGACCGTGCGTCGCAAAAGTCCAAGGAATCAGCGTTTTCTTCAAAAGTTTAATGGGCCCCAACGCGTTTTTGGTCCTTGTCTCCCATGTCACTATCTTCTTTTGTCCTTATTTCTCTTTCTCGTCGCGACCGGATTAGGTAATGTACTGTTAAATAATATACTTATATTGGGCTTCAAAATATGTTATTGGGCCTTTAATTAATTTTAAGCCTTCAAAAACATATTTATAAAAATACCCCCGAAGTTTCAACATCTTTTGATTTACAACCTTGTGTGTTCTTGTTACTTCTCTTCTCTTTGAAGACACTCCTTGAGTCCTCTAACAATCTGTTGCATGTTTGGCCTCTCAGCAACGTTTTGAGAAACAGAAGCCAAAGCAATCTCCACTATTTTCCAAACAGAGTTCGCATCAAAATCTCTCCCCATTTTAGAATCTACAACGTTGCTCACATCATTAGTAGACTTCAAGATAGATATCACCCAATCACTCACATGCACACGCTTCATCTCTGACTCACTGATCACAGCTTTGCCACTAATCATCTCTAACAAAACAACTCCAAAACTGTAGACGTCACTCTTCTCGTTTAACTCATTTGTTTTAAAGCATCTGCACATTGTTTTTAACAAACACAACACAATCAAATGAATATTCTAAGACAGTGAGTGTGAGAGTGAGAGTAATAAAAACTGACAGTGGATCGAGATAACCAGGAGTTCCAGCGACAAGAGTGGAAACATGAGAGCGGCTCTCTGTCTGAAAACTCCTAGAGAGTCCAAAATCAGCAAGTTTTGCTCTGTTTTTCTCGTTTAACAATATGTTTGATGTCTTCACGTCTCTGTGAACTATCGCAGGTTTGCATCCAGTGTGAAGATACTCTAGCCCTTGTGCTGCATCAAGTGCAACCTGAAGTCTTTGTGTCCAGCTCAAGGTATGGTCATACTTCCCTGACAGATGATCCGCCATGTTGCCATTAGCCATGAACTCATAGACCAATCCCATTTGATTAGATTCATGGAAGTAGCCTATTAGTGCAGTGAGGTTTACGTGGTGAACTCTCACAAGAACTTCAACTTCAGAGCGAAACTCTTTGAATCCTTGAGCTGATGTTTCTGATAAAAGTTTAACTGCGACTTCGAGGTTGTTGTAGTAGCCATAGTACACTGTTCCGAAGCCTCCTTTACCAAGGACACGACCAAAGTTATTTGTCATCTTGACTATGTCTGTGAAGGTAAAAAGTAATGTGTTCGAATCTGCCTTTGGATGGTTTCTTGTTTCGTTGGCATCTTCTTCCACTGCAGAGTTCACTACGCAAAATAAAGTTTAACAGTTTGGTAATGTGATAAGCAGTTAGATAGGTAAAGAGGTAAGTATATGGATAGACTGTTACCTGACTTGGTACTTCTGCTCATGATCTTAAAAAACACACAAGACCATAACAGGAAAATGAAAAATGATGCCAATGATGCGCCGAGCGCTGTCATGAGTGTTTTCTTGTTGCTTTTACTGCAAGAAATCTCTGTACAGAGTCCTGGATTGTCTTCTACTTTTAGCAAGAGTGATCCACTCTTTGATCTTTCTAATAACTCAGATGGAACAGAACCTGTAAGCTTGTTCTTCTCTAGATTTCTGCAAAATTTATAAAGAGTTAGAACCAGTCTTTATTGATCTTATGTATTATGTCTATAACTTACAAAACCCTCAAAAACTTCAGTCTTGACAGAGACTCTGGAATGTTTCCGGTTAAGTCATTGTTTGATAAGTCTCTGCAGATTAAGAAGATAAATAGAGTTAAGTTACTTGTCCAAAACAAGAAACTGTTTTAACTTTTAACAGAATCTTGAATTAGCTAAACTCACAGCTCTTGAATCATTGTGAGGTTAGAGAAGGAGGGAGATAAGCGACCTGTTAACCCACTAGAAGACAAGTTCCTGCGTCCAAGCAATGAAAGTTATACACTCTCAAATACACAAAAATCTACAGATTAATCAAAGAAGATGAAACTACACTTACAGTAATGTGACTCTAGGAGGAGCATCACTAGCATAGCTACAATTAAGACCCTCCCAAATGTAGCTATGAGGCAAACAAGGATCTCCTTGCCAGTTTCTCTTCACTTTATAACTCATCTTTATACTCGTAACCGCGTCATCTGTAAAAACCATTGATCAACAAACTATGAAAAAATATTGAATCTGTATATAGTCAATGTTACTAGCACTTACCATCCTCTTGGCTAGTAAAAGACTGCGCGTAAGTATTCCCAACGTAGATCTCTAGAGCGTTAATGATCGGTGGAAGCGTAGACTTTGGTGTTCTCACGAGCAAGAACTTGATATTGGTTTGGCTCTCAGGCTTGAGGAAGAAAGTATCTGTTTGAAGATATCTAGGACTGAAGGTAGCAATTTTTACTTGGTTGATGTAGATTTCAAACTCTCTGGTCTGGTTTGGTGTGAGACTGAGATCTTCGACCTCAGCGAAGTGCATGTAGACAAAGTACCTGACAGTTGGATCAGTGTCTGCCAACTCCATTGAGATTGGTGCTGTTGTGTTTGTTGGAGTCAGTGCTGTGCTCATCAGCAAACTTGGAGGGTTGTAACTGTTGTTACTTGAGGTAACTGGAAGTGATGTGTTGATCTCTCTGTTTTCGACCCCTAGTTTGCGGGGAAGCCAGATTCGGTCATATATATCTTCACTATATCTGATTTACAAGACAAAGGACAAAAGCTACAGAAACAGAGCAAAAAACAGAGGAGGGAACAGAGTAAAAAAACAGAGGAGGAAACAGAGAGAAAACAGAGCAAAAACAGAGTAAGATAGAGCAAGAAACAGATGATGAAACAGAGGAGTGAACAGAGCAAAAAGAGAGGAAGATACAGAGTAAGACAGAGCAAGAAACAGATGATGAAACAGAGGAGGAAACAGAGCCAGAAACAGGGGTTTACCTGATAGGTGAATCCGTTAGAGAACCAAAGTTCCAGCGTCTGGAGAAGAACAGAGCACCGTTTGGAGAGTCGTATGTTGTATTATCGTTTCCTAGAAACCTCAGCTCTAAAGTCGAGATAAAAGGAGTTCCTTCGCCTTTGTTTCCCAAGCAGACAAAGATTCTCTCAGACTGGCTCAAGTAAACAACTTCTTTATTCACAGCGAGGGGTGTGTTGTTTAACGAAACAGTTGTCCAGAGATTGCCTCCAAGAAACAGATCAAACTCGGGTGAGCTGACTTCACCGTCGTAGTTACCGTACATGAAACTGGCTCTTATTAGGTACTTGTTACCTTTCCCCTGTTTTGGAATCAGAGTGTAACAGTTTCTTGAACCTTCAGGAAAGCTCCTAAGGTTCTGAAGCTGTCTTTGAGCAGAGAAGGAGAGCTGTTTAGAGACTCCTGTTTCAACAAAAGATGAGTCTGAAACGTAGTTTATCCCTGTTGTGTCGTCTGTGTAGGATGATCCACTTGGGATTCCACAGTCAATGCTTATGAAACCTGTGAGATTATACATTTTTGATACATAAAAGGTATGAGTAAAGGATTTAGACTTTTCTTAGAGATACAATAATCAGTTAGTAAATTAAAACCTGATTGGTCTTGAGAAAGAACTGAAACGACTAGACACATTGCAAGATATACTAAATAGCCAAAACGAAAGCTTTCCATTTTAGTCTGGCTTTTGGAAAAAGCCAACCAGAAATGGGTTTGAGATCTTTGATGTGATAAAGCTTGAAGTTCTCTATTTAAAGATAAAAAAAAAGATAATTGTTTTGGAGGTAAACCCTGAAGACTAAACATAAACAAATTAGCAAGTTAAGTGATTTATATTAGCTACTTGCTCTCCGTGACTTAGCCAAGTATATACATGAAGAGCATGATCTTTATTATCTTCTGTCTGCCTTTAAAGTCTTCTGATGCCAATTTTATATATACTACTTTAATATGAACAACACACTGTATACAAAAAATGTGTAAGATGATGCGAAAACTTCTTTACAATACTGTCACGGATCACGACTCATCATGTATATAGAAAAGTAACCAACAACATGGTTAAGACAATGCTCCAAAACCACTATTGTGCACCTTGTTCTATCCCTTGTAGTAGATATTTACATTTCAATGACTCTAAAAGACTAAAACGGTAAAACCTATCTTATATCAAAGCAGAGCAGCGTGAAGAGAATGGCCCAAGTCTGTTTCTAGCTGTAATAACGTTTGCCGCAAGCAATCTCCATTTAGACTCTTCTCTCTTGCTCATCTTTTTCATTTTCTCCTTGAAGTTTCTGAAAAAATGTTAAAAGAAATGATTACAATCTGTTTCTATAATAAGATTGGAGTTGTATGTAAATCTTACCTGCAGAGAGGGACCTCACAAGAGCCAGAACTTTCACAGAGACAAGAGTGAAGCTGAAGAATCTGCCACATCCGTTTGCAATGAGCACAAGAAGCCCTAGACTTGCATCCCAAGAAATGTCTCAGCCCACCTTCAACTCCTTTACAAGCAGGGAACTTACACACAGCTTCACTTCCTTTAAGTGCCTTATCTCGAGGCCCTATCGTCCCACAACCTTCACTATATATGTGGACAAGAGCTTCCATAGTTTCATAAAGATCCAAATACATTCTCCTCTCCTCCACCTTCTTCCTTCTCTCTTGCCTCCTAGCATCTGCTTCCACCACTCCTTCAAGAAGCTCTTGCTCTAGCAAAGGATCACCACGTGTCATCACTTTCCATCCTTCCGTTGAAGCTATAGACTTTAAGTCTTTGATAACCATTGAGACGCAGACAAAGGAGATCCTCGTGGCGTTACAGCTTCGTGCTAGTTGCAGCACGTCGATGACATTCTCCTTGTTGATCCATCCTTGGTCAAGAACCTCTACGCAAACTCTTTTGAGAGATGGAACTGAGTAGCAGTGTGATAGAACCAGCAAAGAGAGAACATATTTCTTCATCTCCTCCTCCTCGTAGCTGCAAGTCTTTTTGTATCAGACATTGCTTCAAAAAAGAACATGTAAACATAAGACATTACCATGAAGAGTAGAGAAACCGAATGAACATGTAGACTGCTTCGTAAGGAACTCCAAAGAATTTGAGGTGTGCTTTCCCTTTTCTATCCCTTGATTGATAAAGAAGTTGCGGCAAAACAGGTGAAGCTGCAGCCTACAGAAAGATACAAACCTTGTTATATCTCTCGTACATGACTTGCATAAGATTACTGTTTGAACAAGAACTCACCAGTACGCATGAATGAGCTAGAAAATGAGACTTGTTATCGACTTCAACGTATGTATCTGCTCCAATTCCTTCTTGGAAAAGCTTGTCCCAAGTTTCTACTGTTTCTTTAGGCACAAGGCGTGATGATGAGCTCAGAGGTTTCCTTGTAGAAGCATGGAAACGATGGTAGGTTAGACAAGGAAGAGGAGGAGGTTTCGGTGTATTCTTGGCGCTAGATTGAAGCAGAGCCAAGTTAGCATTCGCAGGAGCTTGGAAATCGCCTTCTTCACCCATATCGTTTACTTGTGGGAATGTATCATCGCCACCATGAGTAGATACTGAAGAAGTATTGACTTCTGAAGAAGCCATCGAATCAAACACAAGACTTCTCACAAAAGGTTCTTGAATCTGTTGACACCAAATGCAAGAAGTAGTCACTAACCAATGTCAAAGAACACAATGTTAACAACTATGCAACTCATAAACAGATCAAACAGTGAATCGAACAGGAATAATCTGATTAGTATCGTTCATTAGATATCAACATCAATGAGAAAACAGAGGCAGAAACAGAGGTTATAACAGACCAAGAAACTAAAGAACAGAGAAGCAAGAACTTTGTGGTGATCTGATAAAATCGTATCAACAGATGATATGTTATGCATAGAGATTCACAGTCATCATCATGCAAGATAAAGTAATCAGAACCCCAGAAAGTGTAACGACGAGAAAACGCTAACACAAAGGAAGAAGTCGAAAATTAGAAAGCGAGGAGAAGAGAGGAAGAGGATTTGATCATTCTTACCCACGCAGAAAGTGAGAATCAGCAGAGGAGGTTTACACAATCTCTTCGACGACGCAGTAACTATTAGTCTTCTTCAACGCCAAGAAGTTTTGTAAATAATCAGTATGAAAGAAAGTTTTGGTGCCAAGTGGTTGTTTCGTTCTTTAAATCTAAAGGACACGAGAAGTAGCAAATTTGCATACTAAACGTCTTCTAAACGTCGTCGTTTTGAAGTAGTAGGATGAATAATTACCTATGCTTTTCGATATAAAGAAGGAAAAAAATTGAAGGCCACGAATGATTTTTTTTCAAAAAAAAAAAAGAATATTAGGTTAGGATGGTTTGAGGGAAATTATTAGAAAGAAAGAGATTATATATTTATATGGCTGATCTTGAATTGCACTAAAGACTAAAGTTAGTGATCCTTGTCACCTCCATTTTTTTGTATTATATGTCTCTTGCCTGTAAATTAAACAAAATAATAATACATTGACACCTTATCTTACCGACCAGCCGGAGGAAAAATAGTACCGACCAACAAATAATATGATAGGACTTAAGAATGTTTCATCCTTACTACAGAAAATGATAAAGGTCAGAATGATCACTGTTAAAAGTAAAATTAATTAAGAACGGTAAACAAATTTAATCCAATAGAGTTAATCAAACAAAAGTAAGTACGTGGACTTTTGTTAGTAAGATCTATTGATATTACTGTAGGGACTACATATGAATTGAGTGATGTATAATAAGGTAGTGATAACCAACTTTGTCACGGGTTTCCAGTGGAAGGACGACGTAAAGATGTTATAATGGAGTGATCAAACTCAACTTTAGTTTTATTTTTTGAGAAATGTAGTGTAAGCTTAGTAGAGCTTAGTGGTGACTGATACATGTGACTAGCCAATAAAAGAGCAACCAGCGTTAAACCACGTATATGTTTTGGGCCTTCCAATTACATGTTAGCGTTACAGCTACGGGCCCAAATAATAGAGCTAAAAGCCCAATAATTGGATATAAAATGTACATCGTTCATATTTTCTAAATACTACCATAACTGCTTTTCTTTTTTTGGTAACCCATTTCATTTAAGAACTTAAAAAGACTAGATTTTAAAATTCTGAAAATGTATAGTTTGATAGTTATTAGCGGAAATGATGTACATTAGCATACAGTATAACCTCTTTAAATTAATAATTTATAAATTAATATCTCTATAAATTAATATAATTTCATAGTACTAAATTGAATTTTTGGTTCAATTAGTATCTCGATAAATTAATAATCTCTATAAATTAATAAAATTTTTAGTTTTGGTATAGTCTAAACATTATTAATTTATAGAGATTTCACTGTATATAAATTTGTTAGTATTTTAAACAAAATTCTATAAAACATTTAAAAAATATGCCATCATCATTTGATAAACATCTAGGGAGAACACATGTATGATCTATTTGGAACTCTCTAACTCTTTTTTTTCTTCTGGAAACTAACTCTCTACTCTTTTACATACTGAGGATGTATGTAAGTTGAAACGAAGACTAGTCAATAATGTATAACTAAATGTTTTTATTTATTAATACTAATAAATAAATAACGGTCGACCACTCAGAATTCAAAGGAAAATGACGGCAGAATCTTGAGCTCCAAGAAAGAAAATTCGCCAGCGACTCTAGTCTCTTTTAGCATCAAAGTTATCATTTATAAAACACCACTTTCAAAGAAAATTATTTGTAAATATATGATATATATTACTTTTAATTAGTATCAACTAATTTGTTAACTGCTGTAAACACAGATATTTCTTATCAATAATAGTTTGAAGTTAACTAGTCTTGCAAAATTGTAGATCTTCTCACGCACACAACAACAAAAAACCCACGAGCAGCTATCAGTTAATAAGCTTTTAGTACTATTTAGTTAATTCGTTTTGATATAACCAATTAGCTTTAGATAGGTTGACAAAAAAAAGCTGTAGATAGCATGAGATGAGTATCCCCATCAATGATTTATACTTTGGATCCGGGTTGCATCAGCAATGACATCAACAGTAGTAATATACAGCTGAGGTGCAGTGTATGTGTCACCCACATGGCGAAGAAGACAAAAAAAAAAAATAACCTGATAAAGTATATGTGTTTTTTTGTTGGTGTTAAAATTAAGTATACATACGTATACATGTTGCGAATCATATAACTGGGTACTTGTATTGTATCACATGCTAACGATACACTAATAAATTAACATTACTTTATTTCTATCAATATATAGATTGGTGGGTTGCATTATCACTGACCTCGGCCTCTGTTCCACACATCTTGGTCGCCACGGAACCATTACCTTTTTGTATTCTAGTCCAAGATATCGCCCCACCAAAGACGTAGTCATATCAAAGTCTTACTAATCCAACCTTATGACTATATATAAACACACCCATACCTCAAACTAAGCAATAACAAAACATAAATAAAATAAAAAGAGAGAAAAAAATGAAAGAAGGATCTCATGTTATCGTCTTGCCTTTCCCTGGACAAGGCCACATAACTCCCTTGTCTCAGTTCTGCAAACGCTTAGCTTCCAAAGGTCTTAAGCCCACTCTTATCCTCGTCTCAGACAAACCCACCCCGCCATACACAACAGATAACGATTCAATCACTGTCTTTCCCATCCCAAACGGCTTCCAAGAAGGTGAAGACCCGTTACAAGACCTAGATGATTACATGGACCGAGTAGAAACCAGCATCAAGAAATGCTTACCAGAGTTGATACAAGACATGAAGCTATCCGGGAACCCTCCTAAGGCTCTTGTGTATGACTCCACCATGCCGTGGCTTCTTGATTTATCTCATGCTCATGGTTTGAGAGGTGCCGCGTTCTTCACGCAACCTTGGCTTGTCTCAGCTATTTACTACCATGTTTTCAAGGGCTACTTCTCTGTACCGTCTACAAAGTATGGTCACTCGACGTTGGCATCTTTCCCTTCGTTTCCTATGCTGAATGCGAATGATTTGCCCTCTTTCCTCTGCGAGTCTTCCTCTTACCCTAATATACTAAGGGTCGTGGTTGATCAGCTCTCAAACATTGATCGTGTCGACATAGTGTTGTGCAACACTTTCGATATATTGGAAGAAAAGGTACCAACCAAACATATATATATATCATCCACATATGAACATGTCTATGTCTTTTGAGGAAAATAAGAAAAGTATATTATTTCTTGTTTCTTTTTATCCGTTCTCAGTTTCTGTTTCCGACTAAACCATGCCCCGTTATATGAAATAATTAATATAACTATATATATAATTATTTAAAAAACGTATATTTTAAAAACTAATTTTTCAATAGTTATCCGAAAAAAATTGTTAGATTTAAAAAAAAATTGTTCTAGTCTTGTTTTTTTTTATCCTATTCATATATGTGATTTTGATTTATTTTATTTTTGATGTTTTTTCTAGTTGTTGAAATGGGTCAAAAGCAAGTGGCCAGTCTTGAACATAGGACCAACGGTTCCATCGATGTATTTAGACAAACGACTGTCTGAAGATAAGAACTATGGATTCAGCCTCTTCACTGCGAAATCAGCTGAATGCATCGAGTGGCTGAACTCAAAGCCGCCTAGTTCAGTTGTCTATGTATCATTCGGAAGTTTGGTGATTCTAAACGAAGCCCAAATGATGGAGCTAGCAACTGGTCTGAAACAGAGCGGTTGTTTCTTCTTGTGGGTCGTGAGAGAAACAGAAACAGACAAGATTCCAAAAAACTATGAAGATGAAATCGGTGAGAAAGGACTTATTGTGAGCTGGAGCCCTCAGCTTGAAGTTCTAGCGCATGAATCTGTCGGTTGTTTCTTGACACATTGTGGATGGAACTCGACGTTAGAAGGTTTAAGTCTTGGAGTTCCAATGATTGGTATGCCTCATTGGACAGATCAGCCTACGAATGCTAAGTTCATAGAGGATGTGTGGAAGGTTGGGGTTAGGGTTAAAGTAGAAGGTGATGGGCTTGTGAGAAGAGAGGAGATAGTGAGATGTGTGGGAGAAGTTATGGAAGGAGAGAAAGGTAAAGAGATTAGAAAAAGTGCTGAGAAGTGGAAAGTGTTGGCTCGAGAAGCTGTTTCTGAAGGAGGTAGCTCTGATAAGAGCATTGATGAGTTTGTTTCTATAGTTTGCTGAATGATTTAAATTGAGATGTTAGAAAGTCACTGTCTATGGCAAATTTTCACTGTTTTCTGTTCAAGTTTTTTTTTTACAATTAGTTGTTGTTTTTGTTTTGATAATTCACTTTGTTGTCGTTGTAATAAGGATTGTTTTTCTCAAGTTTCAAATGAAACACATGCATGGGGAATTCACTTAATTATATATATATACTTTTTTTTTGTTCGTTAAGACTTACTATTTTGTTTTGTCAACAAGACTTACTATTTATAATGAACCTGTTGAAAACTTTATATATGCCATGTTCTGAAAACTCTACGTGCGATAGCCGTGTGTTTAGAGGACATTCTGTAGTGTAAAAATCATAATTTCATTTTCAATGATTTGACTAATAAGCTGCCAGGAATGTTTGCATAAATTGACCTAAACTTTCATAAAGTTGATATAGCCAATGACTGACTACTAGGAAAATTCTGCATGATTACAAAGTTCACGTGGAACTTGTAAAAATCTCTATCCCAAAGGCTGTTAAGACGTGACGGCCTTATCCAGTTAAAGCCACATGGGGTTTGCCGTTTACGAATTGGTTTTCACTTGGTAGTCTATGTTACGTCGTTTTCACCTTCACTTTCAATCGTCAGTTTGTACAGAGTACGTAGTATATGATTCCAAAGTCTAATGCAAATTGAAGATTCTGCTTGACCTTTCTTCTCTTCTGGTGATAGACTTGTATGGGCCTGAATGTTCTTATTATTGGGCCTTAAGAGTAGTTTCAATTCCAACACGACTCGAACCGGTTTAGTTCCAAAGTGACGGTCTTAACCAAAATCCTTGGTTAATGGGCTTTAGACTATCTCTAATGACGAGTTCTTACGGCGGGATTCTTAGCGGACCTAGGGCAGAAGGGAGGTGTAGCATGTGCCCCACCCTAAATTATTTTTCTCCATGACAATTTATAGTAAACTTATCTAAATATTCACTTAAGCTCTACACTAGTAACCAGAACCTGATATGTGCCCATACCCGAATAAATCATGCGTCCACCCCTGATTGAAGGTGCTCTTAAGAGTTTCAATTCCGACACGACAAGAATCCGGTTTAGTTCCAAAGTGACTATCTTAACTAAAACTCCCAAATCGATCGTCGATTCTTAATTGCACTGGCTTCGTTTTCAAACAGAGGCAGCTTTATTCTGAAGTGAGAGTGGAGAAATAAAAAAGAAATCTCGAATTTTTATGTGTGTGTGGTTTGATTTCATCATCCACTGACATAGTATGAAGGTTAAAGAGGTTTGAGATCTTAGGTGTTCATGTTTCTCCATAAAATTTGAAATGATGTCCATGAGCCATGAAAATAATTTTAACATAAATTAATACAAATTTAGAATGTGATTGGGTAATTTTCATCAACGCTAAATAGCCTAAACTTCTTAATATAGCATTTATAAAAAAAACTCGATTTTCTATAGGGGTTAACCCACATGTTTCGAGAAAAATTAGAAAATATGATTTTTTTTTTGTTTTAATGCATATTTGCATCATTCACTGACATAGCATGAATGTTAGAGAGGTTTGAGACCTTAGGTGTTCATGTTTCTCCAGAAAATAGAATTATTTCATAGGGGGTTTGTCCACTGATTAAGTGGTATATGAAATTTAAAATAAATTACATGTTGGAAAATTTGAAATAATGTCTATGTACCATGAAAATATTTTTAACATACATTAATACAAACATAGAATGTGATTGGGTAATTTTCATCAACAATAAAGAGCCTAAAATTCTTAATATAGAATTTATCAAAAAACTCGATTTTCTGTAGGGGTTAACCCACATATTTTGAGAAAAATTAGAAAATATAAAAATTTTGTTTTAATGCATATTTGCATCACTCATTGACATAGTATGAAGGTTAAAGAGGTTTGAGACATTAGGTGTTCATGTTTCTCCAGAAAATAAAATTTGTTTTACATGGGATTTGTCCACTGATTAAGTGGTTAATGAAATTTAAATAAATTACATGTTGAAAAATTAGAAATGATGTCCATGTACTATGTCAATAAGCTTATCATACATTAATATAAGTTTTGAGTATGGTTAGGTATTTTTTAATAGCACGAAAGAGGCTAATCTTTAGTGTGTATAGCATTTATTGAAAAACTCAATCCTTTCGTATGAGTTAACTCACATATTTTGAGAAAAATAGAAAATATGAAAATTTTGTTTTAATGCATATTTTCATCATTCACTGACATAGTATGATGGTTAAAGAGGTTTGAGAGCTTAGGTGTTCATGTTTATCCAGAAAATAGAATTTCGTTTATATGGGGTTTGTCCACTGATTAAGTGGTATATGAAATTTAAATAAATTATATGTTGGAAAATTTGAAATGATGTCCATGTGCCATGAAAATAATTTTAACATACATTAATACAAATTTATAATGTGATTGGGTAATTTTCATCAACAATAAAGAGTCTAAACTTCTTAATATAGCATTTATCAAAAAACTCGATTTTCTATAGAGGTTAACCCACATATTTTGAGAAAAATTAGAAAATATGAAACTTTTTCTTTTAATGTATATTTGAATCATTCAGCGACATATCATGAAGGTTAGAGAGGTTTCAGACCTTAGGTGTTCATGTTTCTCCAGAAAATAGAATTTTTTTTTATAGGAGATTTGTCCACTGATTAAGTGGTATATAAAATTTAAATAAATTACATGTTGGAAAATTTGAAATGATGTCCATGTACCATGAAAATAATTTAAACATAAGTTAATACAAATTTAGAATGTGATTGGGTATTTTCCATCAATAATAAAGAACATAAACTTCTTAATATAGGATTTATCAAAAAACTCGATTTTCTGTAGGGGTTAACCCACATATTTTGAGAAAAAATAAAAAATATGAAAATTTTGTTTTAATGCATATTTTCATCATTCACTGACATAGTATGATGGTTAAAGAGGTTTGAGACCTTAGGTGTTCATGTTTATCCAGAAAATAGAATTTTGTTTATGGGGGTTTGCCCACTGATTAAGTGGTATATGAAATTTAAATAAATTACTTGTTGGAAAAATTGAAATGATGTCCATGTGCCATGAAAATAATTTTAACATACATTAATACAAATTTAGAATGTGATCGGGTAATTTTCAACAACACTAAAGAGTCTAAACTTCTTAATATAGCATTTATCAAAAAACTCGATTTTCTATAAGGGGTTAATCCACATATTTCGAGAAAAAATAGAAAATATAAATTTTTTTGTTTCAATGCATATTTTCATCATTCAATGACATAGCATGAAGGTTAGAGAGGTTTGAGACCTTAGGTGTTCATGTTTCTCCAGAAAAAAATAATTTATTTCATAGGAGGTTTGTCCACTGATTAAGTGGTATATGAAATTTAAATAAATTACATGTTGGAAAATTTGAAATAATGTCCATGTACCATGAAAATATTTTTAACATACATTAATACAAACTTAGAATGTGATTGGGTAATTTTCATCAACAATAAAGAGCCTAAACTTCTTAATATAACATTTATCAAAAAAACTCAATTTTTTGTAGGGGTTAACTCACATATTTTGAGAAAAAATAGAAAATATGAAAATTTTGTTTTAATGCATATTTTCATCAGTGACTGACATAGCAAGCAAGTTAAAGAGGTTTGAGACCATAGGTGTCATATTTCTCTAGAAAATATAATTTTGTTTATATGGGGTTTGTCCATTGATTAAGTGGTATATGAAATTTAAATAAATTACATGTTGGAAAATTAGAAATGATGTCCATGTACTATGTAAATAAACTTATCATATTTTAATATAAGTTTTGAGTATGGTTAGGTATTTTTTAATAGAACGAAAGATACTAATCGTTAGTTTATATAGCATTTATTGGAAAACTCAATTTTTTTCGTATGGATTAACCCACATATTTCGAGAAAAAATTAGAAAATATGGAAAATTTGTTTTAATGCATATTTGCATCATTCAGTGAAAAAGTATGAAGGTTAAAGAGGTTTGAGACCTTAAGTGTTCATGTTTCTCCATAAAATAGATTTTTATTTTTTATAGAGGGTTTGTCCACTGATTAAGTGGTATATGAAATTTAAATAAGTTACCTGTTGGAAAATTTGAAGGGTCCATGTACCATGAAAATAATTTGAACATACATTAATACACATTTAGAATGTGAAGGGGTAATTTTCATCAAAAATAATAGCCCAAACTTCTTAATATAGCATTTGTGGAAAAACTTAATTTTTTCGTAAGGGTTAACCCACATATTTCGAGAAAAATTAAAAAATAAAAAAAAAATTTTTAATGCATATTTTCATCTTGCAGTGACATAGTACAAAGGTTAAAGAGGTTTAAGACGTTATGTGTTCAAGTTTCTCCACAAAATATAGTTTTTGTAGGGGGCTTGTTCACTGATTAACTGGTATATGATATTTAAATAAATTACATGTTCGAGAATTTCAAATAATGTCCATGTACCATGAAAATATTTTTAACATAAATTAATACAAACTTAGAATGTGATTAGGTAATTTGCATTAACAATAAAGAGCCTAAACTTCTTAATATAACATTTATCAAAAAACTCGATTTTCTATAGGGGTTAACCCACATATTTTGAGAAAAATTAGAAAATATGAAAATTTTGTTTTAATGAATATTTTCATCATTGACTTACATAGCATGCATGTTAAAGAGGTTTGAGACCATAGGTGTTCATGTTTCTCTAGAAAATAGAATTTTGTTTATAGGGGGTTTGACAACTAATTAAGTGGTATATGAAATTTAAATAAATTACATGTTGAAAAATTAGAAATGATGTCCATGTACTATGTAAATAAACTTATCATACATTAATAAAAGTTTTGAGTATAGTTAGGTATTTTTTTAATAGCACGAAAGAGGCTAATCTCTAGTTTATATAACATTTATTGAAAAACTCAATCTTTTCGTATGGGTTAACCCACATATTTTGAGAAAAATTAAAAAATATGGAAATTTTGTTTTAATCCATATTTGCATCATTCATTGACATAGTATGAATGTTAAAGAGGTTTGAAACCTTAGGTGTTCATGTTTCTCCATAAAATAGAATTTTTTTTATAGAGGGTTTGTCCACTTATTAAGTGGTATATGGAATTTAAATAAATTATCTGTT